TCTCCTGACTACACTTTTTACATTTTTGAATTTGGAATGTATCGAATGGAAACTTACTGACATCTGTATAAGATCGTCTCTCTTTGGTGAAAATGCGTACTTGTAACAACTGCCAATAAAATAGGTCTCTACCTTGATCGAAAAATGTGTGAAGAAAGCGTGCATCACAACTCTCAGAGGTTTTATAACGAAGCCGGTGGATGACACAAGTCCCCTGACGCTCAAAAACGCTCTTCTAAGTTTTTACCTTTCCTGAAATGTAACAAGGCTGGTAAATAATTTTTTTTCGCGAAAAAGTTGATGTTTCAGAGATATAAAACTGGCTTTTAAAAATGAGCCCGCCAAAACATTTCTTTAGATTCCGATCATTCTTTGTCGATGGACCAGTTTGGTCACAAAATGCTATCTTATGCAAATTAAAAATTCTTCTTTCATTGTTTTCTCTCACATGGGTGATATAATTACTGCTTGTACCGTACACATTTTGAAAAACAATTTGCTATTTACTCCCAAACGATAATTCATAAGCTCGAACCATTAAAATTCGAGGCTAGTTGACGATCGAGAAAAAAGTTTCAACTCTTAAAATGCTTTCCAACAAATAGTCGGCATGTTCGCCCTCTCTCGCGCACATGATATTCTTTGCAAAACTTAATTTAAATCGCCTTGTGGCATTTCCTCGATTTCTTAGCACCAAAATTTTAGTCTTGTGAGTTACCTAAATGACAGAGTAATTACAGATGAAAAATATTTTGCTTTCTAGAATTTGGAAGTTTTCCTACACTGCCTTGAAATCTTTCAACTGGCCCACACGGTGTTCCCATCACTCAACAAAACATTTTTGACAAGTTTGATCAATTTGGATTTGGCGCATATATCAATACACTGTCTTGCAAAGGCAGCCTCATGTACACATTATAAGCCAGTCTTAGGAAAAACAGAAAGTGTCTCTTACCTTAGTGTAATTCTTTGCTTTCGTTTCCTTTCTGTCCACTAAAAACTTTCTATGTATTCATTTTCATGGCAGTGCATCTAAAATGGCCAAAAGAACAGTTTAAATTCTCGAGCCTCCACATATTACACTGGTTCGAGAATTTAAGCGGTTATCTTATAATCACCATGGACAACTCCACAGACCAAGTCAAAGCTGATGCTTTCTGCCCTACAACTACAAATATTATCAGGTTGAATCGCCAAGAGTTGATTGTAATCTACATGGGTATTTTTTGCTGGATTTAAGTCGATTTGAATTTAGATCCAACTAAAAAATATGTCTTACACTAACCCTATCCTAAGCTTTGCTGGACTGATACAACTAACTGATGAATTTTCCTTTGACATTGTAAATGGAGACTTGAGAGAGGTATCGCTTATGGAGAACTAGTCTGGAACTCTTCCATCGTTCATTTACATGTAAAATTCTCTCGAATTCATACAATGCACTATTCAACACCTTTGGGGTTGAACTTATTTTCGTTCTTACCTTGTGTTTCGTTGTAAAAAAAACTTTGTAGTGAGTTGTCAGTCCATGTAAGGTCTGCTTGCACAAACAAAGGAACTTCATAATGCCTCTGTGTCCATTTGAACCTTCAACATGTTGAGTGAAGCAGCTCAAACTACGAAAAACCTTAAAATGTAAATTAGCAGCACGATTTCCACATGCTATGAAGTTGTGTCTAACTAGGGAAATCTCGAAAACAAGGTTCAAAGAAATTTGCATGCGAGGTTTTGAGCGATGAGTTTGAATTAAGGCTAATTCATAGGTGATATTTTTTACTTCCAATGAACGGAATTCTTTCATGTAAATTTGTGAATGTAAATCTACTTCTATGGGAGAAACGGATAGGGGAAAAAACGCAGAAAAATACAGGGCTAGAATGTGGGATAAAAAACACAGGAAAAAAGTCTCGGTTTGCGTAAAAATGGAATAAAAGTTACCAGCAAATTCATTTTCTCCCAAACAGTTTTTATTTATAACTTGGAAACCTTATTTTTTTTCCCTTAGGTTTATATAATAAGAGCCAAAGTTAACTTCAAATTATAACGTAACTGCAAATAAAACGCAGCATTTGATGAGTCAATCAATTTCCAGGCCTATGCGCTATACCTGAAAAGGTTGCTGGTCACTCGCCTTCGGCTCGCAAGTACAAGCTTTTCTCGTGTTCTCCCAACATCCCGCATACCTTTATCACATTTTAAAGAACCCTGAATATGTGTTTTATTGCATGTCCAGAACACCTTGCAAAAAAACCCTGAAAATGTGTTTTATTGCATGTCCAGAACACCTTGCAAACAACCCTGAAAATGTGTTTTATTGCATGTCCAGAACACCCTGCATAGAACCCTGAATATGTGTTTTATTGCATGTCGAGAACACCTTCCAAAATTAAATCATATACGTAACTAAGGAACGGCCTGAGGGTCACGTAATCACTGTAAGCGCAAGTTTTTTTTCTTTCCTTTGGGGACATTTGAAACACAACTCAGAACAGAGTTCTGAAAAGTTAAGGCAAACCCAATCAATAAAAAACCAAGGTTTATGTTGAGGGTGTAACTTGTTCCCACACTGTGACAACTCGGGGATCGTAAAAAAAAAAAAGGTTATGTTTGACGAGCCGAAGGGCTCTCCTCTAGGTTATGTAGTGTGAGGTGATTTGGAGTGTTTGTACTCTTCCTGTTCGGGACATTTGTCTTTCACGGATAACCCCATGGCAATTTGATAGTTTGCTCGTCAAATCCGCTAGGACACCTGCTCTCAAACTTGAACCTCTTAATTAAGAGTGCAACACATCATTGGGCCACTGTCTCCAAACAAATCATTGGATAATATGAACAAAGACTATTGGAGGCACACAAACCTTCTTCCAAGCAAGGAGCAAGGTTATGCTCCGGGACAGCTTCCTTGTCCAATAATTTCTGTTGAGAAAATTGAATAAGTAGGGAGAACACAATTAAATTGATAAAAAGACCCTTTCCTGAAATTAACCAAGTTGTCAAAACCTCTGCTTAAAGAAAACAACGTTTCTCAATCATCTGCAGTTATTTGTTACAAATTAATTTTACTTCAAATATGCGATTTTCATAACCCTAACCTTATCTATCGGCCCTGTGTGAATGGCATTTGAAAGAGGGAAAAGCACACTCTCTTTGGCGGCCTGTATTTCTGAAGACCATGCTAAAAAGCCTGTCTTGTCAACTCCACAAGCTTACTATTCACGAACACGACAACATAATATCATTACAGTAATATACTGTTGAGTCTTACATTACGAAACTACGAAAATTACAAAAAAATAAAATATTCCAAAAACTGTAAACTCACCCTGTTGGACACACCAAAGAAAATGTGAGAACATGTCAAAACTGTCAGCTAGGCCACTCAGTAAAACACGATACATCTCTTCATAATTTTCCAGGTCTGGATGGCACTGTCACCATGAATCTTAATTCTCATGTCTTTGATGTAAACATAAGCTGCACATGCTACTTGACAATTTTGTTCTTTACACAATCTTATACAAACTTGGTTCTAATGATTTTTTTTCTCTCACTATTTCCATTACTAAATATTACTGATTCTTACAATAAAATGTCACCAATCACAATGGAATTCATTTGAATAATACCTTACCCTCCCCCCCTAAGGTTGAGCTGGTGCATTGCCATAAGGAGAGGAGTCACTGTGATGATAACTTATTTATAGTTGACGAATGTCAATGAACCGCTGTAGCAAAATTTGACAAGGTTGACACATAATTTGATAAAAGTCTATCAGTAGTGGCCTCTCCAAAAGTTACTGCAAAATACTCCTTCCTGTTCCTTTGAGTAAGTTGTAAATTATATTGATTGACATCAAAAGTTACTAACTTCCGCTATAAACAGTTTCAGTGCTTTATTGCCATTAACTACTATTTCTATTTTCAACATCATTTCTGTAATACTTTAAACCTAATTGACGAGTCGTTCATTGCAGTAAAGAATTTAGGAAATTGTAAAAGCTATCGTACAGGTATAAACAAGTTGTAAAACATGTTTGTACACAAGAATTACTTTATACAAATTTTATAATTACAACTTACAAAGGACATTTCCTTAAAGGTAAGATCAATTTGTACACCTCATTTTTTTGTACACATTTACTTATCAAAGAAAAATAACTACTACTGTTACAGCTATTTTTTAAACCATAAGTCTTGTGCAAACCAGTTCACCTTTTACATGGACAAAACAGCAAGATTTTTTTTTTTATTTATTTTACAGAAGGAAGCCCCTCACGTGCATCCAACATCCGTTTTTTTGCTCTTTGGAATGCATCTATTCAACGAAAAGTATGGACAGTTTTATCAGAGAAAATGTATTTACTGTAATGATTCAATGTAGCATCTGGGGTGCTTATTTCCTTTTGCTACCTCTGTGGGGGTTAGGTGACATTTGAAACAGGGGGCTTATTGATGACAGGGGAATTTATATTTCTTTTTTCAAAAACAGCAGAGTATGCGAAACAAAGCACTGATGTTTATTCAAAAGGGATCAAGAGGACTGGAAAACAGACTTGTTGTCCTTGTATCACACCTGGCTAAAATGCTCAGCCAAGCAATTGCAGCAGAAAAGACATGATCATACATTCGAGTGAAATGTGCGCCAACATGGACACAATAGTTGAGAGACCGAGACGAGGGCCACTGTTTTTTTTTTATGAAGCCTTAAGTGAACAATAATGAACCATGATTCATCTTAATGTACATGTACTCTTACAGTGCTATCACGGAGGCAGAATAGGACTGCTTACTGGAACAGGGGCACTTTTGGTAGAGAGATGCTTATTGGAATGGGGGTGCGCACTCAAAAGAGAAATGGGGACACTTACTGACAAACAAAAATAAGGGGGCACCCATTAAGGAGAGGCACTCATTGGAACAACGGCTCTAAATTAACTCATAAAGACATCTTACCTATCTTACCTTTGAAGTTCTTAAAAAGATCTTTATTTTTGAAAAATCTGCTCTTTTTAGTTCTTAGTATAAACATATCAGTTAACTATAACTGATGAAACAAGCAAAAGGCCAGCTCATCAATAACTTCATCCTAATTAAGTTGATAGAACATCCAACCTCAAAACTAGGACTGAAAGGCATTCAAATGCTAATAAGGAACTCCAAATTCTATTGGTTCCATGCTTGTGAAAAGACATTTTTCCCTTTTCAATTTCATTTAATCATTTATAAATAATGCACTATCCTTTTGGAAAATTCTTCAACTCACCCATAACTTGTGCTAAAGAGTCCAGAGCATTCATTCCTCTGTAAAAACAGAATCAAATCATCAAAGTATGTTTATGCATGTTTTCTCCTCCTAAAAAGGGGAATAAGAAGTTAAGAAAGAAATAACACCTGCAATATCCAAATTACAGGAGTTACAACAAAATCAACAATGTGAAACAAATGAAGTCACTATGGAAATGGGACCCAAATTCACTCTGGAAATTAATACTTTTCAAGAAGTAACATATTCCAGGTACAGCACTGTTGATTACTATTTAAGCCTGGAAGTGTGGCACTCACCCATGGGCAGAATCTACTAAAGGTGGGAGCTACTATTTTAGGCATTTACATCAGTTGACTCACCCTAGTCTGTCCAGTATAGTTCTTGTATGACGAGTTTTCTTGGCTTTTGAATCCATAAAAGACCTTAGACAAAAAAAAAATTAAATAAATAGAATGGCATAATGAGAATCTAGAACATTGAAACTACAAACCATGTTGATAATTTTTAGACCTCTACACACTTACTGACACTGCTGCATAATATGAAACTTGACATTAACACTCCCAGATGCAGCTGTCCTGAAGAAATATTTGCTCAATACCTTATCCTGTCATAAACAAAATAAAATAATTGAAAACTGATGGCACAGAGTCAGTGTACTAAATACTAGGCCATGCACACTCTCAAAGGAAAAGGAGGTTAATAGGAGTATACACTTTTAGCAAGCCCCCTAAAACTGGACAAATAAAGTGGCTGGGTGATAAAGAGATCTCCAGTCCAGGGTCTGAAATTCCCAGCAGGTAGTCATCAAAGCCTCCGAAAATTGAGAACTGGTGACTAGGAATTTCATGCTAATCACTCAAAGGGCAAATTAGGCAGTTTAAGTCTTTCAATGTTCTCCATGTAACCAGCAAGCAAACCTGTTTGTTTTATACAATCAATAGGTGCTTATTCATGAGCAGGGATATGCTTTAAGAAAATAAAGGTCTCTAAAACTTTTGGATTTTTTAATTTCACTGTGAGTGAAAGGTGTTAAGATCAGAGTTTTGGTAACCAAAATGCCAATCAGCCCCCAGATAGTACAGTCAGTAACTCAGACTCTGCAGTGGTCATATATCATATATTCCAGATTATTTCCTGAATATCTTACATCAGCCATTGCAGGTTTCTGAGGATATGTAGGATCTTCCAATTCTGGTGATCCACCAATAAAGAACCTTCGCATCTCTGGACCTGTGCCATTTCCTATTGGTCGCCAAGTGTTCACTTCCATACAGTAGCTGCCTAGCAATTTTGAAAATAAGTTATTATAATTTCAATTTGCTGGAGCTGTACGAGTTGTTACATTTCACATTCATCATCTGTGTCAATTATAAGGTGACACTCAAAAATTAACCATAAATATTTGTCTTCCTCTTGAAGCTTTATGGAGTATGGTACATTATGCTTATATACATTGAACTTCTCTTACCAGCTTTATTGGGTATAGTGATGTATGCATAACCCTCAGTTCTGAACCTTTCCCAGCTGTCCAATGACAACACCTCCACAAACAGTGTTGGCCAGCAAATAAAATCATCTGAATAGCAATACGAGAAGCAACATGAGACATTATCAAAGATCCTCACTTATCAGAATTGTTCAAATGAGGCTGGAATAATCATCAAACTTACCACAATCATCATCTTCTTGATAGATCAATGAGAAGTCAAAAGGGAAACTAAAGTGCGCCACGTAGTCCTTAGAATATGATGATAAAAATATGTCATTATGAAGTCTTGGACCAATGATATCCAAAAAGTTATTCAAAATGTGGTATAAAATGACACAATTTGACTGATCAAAACTTAAAAAGTATAAGGGTTTAGGGTTGCTACTTTTTCTAGAAAGAATACCGGTGACCCTTAATAACTTTTTCTGACAGTACAGTAGCATTCATCTATACTTTTGGTTGGAGTGAGGTACTGACAGGGTTGAAGTGGTCTTGCCCATCAACACATCACAATGACACACTTAAGATTCAAAAAGTGTTTTCCTTATCTTGGGTCAAGTGTGGCATACACGCAGCTACCATCTCTCCTAGGGGTGTTCACCAATAACTTCTCCAAGATAATTTGAGGAGGAATATCAAATTTTGTACCAGAAGCACACTACACAAACTTTTTCGACAATTAGACACTTTTTGGCAATTACTTCAAAACTTTTTAAGTTTTGATTTCCTACAATACTTATCAATGAAAATAAATCTGATCACATGATCAGTTGAATTTTAAAAAACTTACTTCTCCCTCTAGCTTTGTCATGCAGGTCTGTGTGACACCTGATAACACTGGGTCATCAGTTGGTCTCCATTCTACATTACATATATACAGAAGTGGAAAAAATAAACAGATCTGTGTTTGTCCTCAACAAGACCAATGGCTCTACTGATGAACTATGTTAAGCAATAAATTATTGGTGACTCCTTACAAAGAAACTGAGTGACATTATAATATTTCTAAATTAAAGACACCAGAAAAAAAAAGCCTTTTTTATCAAACTTGTCTATAACAATCAAATTCGATATTACACAATCTGACAAAGTGTATGATCTGAAATCAAGTATTTGATTCATTAATTAGCTGTGTTCACTGTTGTTCAACCTCACATCTACATATTCAAACTTACCACCTTTCTTATAGCCTACAAACCAAGACGCTTTGACTTTGTCAATCCTAGCATTATGCAAGATGTATGTCATATACGAACTTCATAATGGGCCTAGCTCACCGTAGAGTCTCTGTGGCTCAGCAGTAGAGCATTGAAGCATGGAATCCAAAGATCTGAGGTTCAAATCCTCATGGGGACCCAGAATGTTTTCTTTATCCCACACTCATGACTAGACAAAACATCTTCTATAGTTTGATTTTGTAGCCCGAGTTGGTAAATGACAATGACATTTTAAGCTTCAAAACTCTTTATGGTGGCAATTTACAGAATCAACTCAGTCCATATAACCAAATTATCTTGTTACCCTCACCTATGCAGCACCACAGATTCTTTAGAAACTTACACTATTATTATCTGTGAGACTCTTGCACCTTTACCACAACAGATTGTGAACCCTTACTTTTCTAACTTTAAAATACCAACAGAACACCACTATCTTTTTATTGTGGTCTGTGGTTTATCAATCACTTACTCTCAGGCAGGTCCAGAAAAAAGTGAACATATAGACCATCATAGTCAAATCCTTTGGCAGAAACTACAGTAGAAATAAAATTTATAGATAAGGTTAGATGAAGGTCAATGCATACAAGTAAAAAGCCAATTACTGCAAGAGCTGGTCCTGATTTCTTTTGCATGAGATGAAGTATAGCACCTCTGCCCAAATCAGATGTCAGTCCAGCACTCTTTCATACTTGTAGATGGAGAGAAGCACTCACTGTCTGTGAATTTCAAGCATCTGACCCACGAATACAACTCAATGACCCAGCCCTTCCAGGTCATTTTTCACCTCACAGACACTACCAACAATAGCAGTAAAGTTTAAGCACTGTTCAGTTCTAATAAATCTGATAAACTTACCTATCTCTCCAAAAATATTCATTCTCAAAACACCAGGTTCTGGCTGTTATAGCAGAGAAAAATGAGATCCATGTTTTAAATAAGAGAGTAACAATTTTTTAAAGACAAACAATCATAATAATTTTAAATACAGGGGCTCTGCTTGTTTCCTCTCAAACAATACAAAAAACACATAATTTGGTGTGTAGAAGACAAAAGAGGTTCAAAACAGTTGAACAAGTAGCCATTGTAGAGAAGGATGTTGTTCATCGTGTCACTTGCATGGGACAAAGAAAAACTTTGATTCCCCATGAGGAATCGAACCACAGACCTTTCCTGACACTCTATTACTGAGCCACATAGACTCTATGGTGAGCAAGGCCCATTACAAAGATCATATATGACACATCTAATGCATACCACTAGGATCGGCAATGTCATGTTTTTCTTTGACCCACACTGGTGACAAAACAAACAACTTCTTTCTCTATTTCTTTACCAAGCTCAAAATTTACCATCCTTGTAATTTCTAATTACAAACAAGATGCTGTTGACATGACTGATCCTAGCGGTAAGCACGACATGTGTCATATGTGAACTTTGTACTGTGCCTTGCTCATTGTAGAGCAAGGGGGGACTGTCCCATGCTCGTGACAAGATAAACAACATCTTTCTCTATTTCTTTACTGAGCTCACTCTTATTCTAGTTCTTGCTGTAGTTAGCATTCAGTTGTTACTCTCACCATAGTTTCAAATCCAGATCCAACTTGTGAGGCCAAATACAAAGCATGCCTGTTGTAAAGCTGTTCAAGAAAACAAACAGAAAACACTTCACTCTATAGCATTGACTGATGATCATTTAACAATAATTTATAATACAATGATAGATAGATAGATGACCTCTATTTATACATAATATTTTAAGCTAAAAGTTTGTGGGGTTGTGTGAAGAGAAAGGAAAATCATGTCAAAATAACAGACACATCCTTCAATCAAACTTGCCTCATTGAAACTCTTAAATTCTTGCTCTCGCTGATCACTAAAATTTAACATTAAAAAAGAACATTTAACATGATCATGGTAAATATTGTCATTAAAATTAGAAATTAAAATACAAAAAATGCTACAGGGATATATTTCATGGTGTACACATTTGAAAAATTGTACCCTGATATTTCCGAAACTCATGATTTCCAACTTGTGTTCATCTTGCTCAGCCATTTTTGCTCTTCCCTTGAAATGGGAAAAGTGTATGGACAAAATGGTGTCCTTGGCTAAAAGTCAGTGGCCAACTCCTTGTATAAATCTGGCTGAATCATTTTTGGGAAGATTTGTCCATAAAGAAAGATTACAACTTTCTCTTGTCACAAGGCTTACTGTACTAGTGAAATGGAATTTCTTTAATTTGCAAAATAAAAATCTGTAATTTGCAAATCAAGAAGCACTGCAGACAACTCTACCAGTTAGAGGAAGAATTTTTCATTTCAGCATTAGTGTGGCTGCACACCCAGCCTAGCAAACAATAACTACTAGTAGTTATTGTTTGTAGTTATTGGTTAGAGCAGTGGACTGTTGTGTGGGAGGTCGAGGTCGGTGGTTCAATGAGCCCCAGCCGGACTATCACCCAGGGTCTTAAAATAACTGAGGAGAATGTGCTACTTCTCTATAATATCAAGAAATGGATAGACATTCTAGTCTTCTTGGATAAGGATGAATAAACCGTAGGTCCCATCTCCTGCATCTATTAATTAGTTAATTTGGTTAGGCAGGGGATGTTAAAGAACCCAATCACAAGATTACTGTGATGTGGTCTGGCCTGTTTATTGGGAATTGAGGTGGGGGGGGGCATCTTCAAATAAGTTTCCTTCGATTGTTTGTAAACTGCTGATGCAGTCCGGCCAAAGTCCCCCGAAAAGTGTTGTGATGCGCATTTGATAATATCCACATGTTAATTTGTGCAAAATAGATATTAAATTACTATTATTATTATTAAGAATGAAATGAAAATCTGTATTTAGCAAAATAGGAAATCTGTAATTTATGACATGGAAGTCTGAATTTAGCACAATGGGTAATCCATAATTTGCAAAATGGAAATCTCCATTAAGCAAAATGGGAAATCTATCTAAATATATACACAATTACATACAAGTAAAGTCCACTTAAAAATTGCCATACCTTGTCATTTGAACAGAACAGTGCTCAACAGTATATTCATACACCTCTGAAAGAAAGAGAAAAAAATAGTTGTTCTGCTATGTTGTGCAGTATGCAATAATACCATAACTGCTGTGGTATGCTTAACATCTAGACTGTCAGAAGGTATGAAATGGAACAGTAAAGTGAAAATCAATTTTGCCTCAAGAAGTCTTTGATTGCTAACATTTCAATTACCTCTCAGCTCATTTTGTGTCTCAACACGATATGGAGGCTTTTCCCCATTGAAGTCAGGCTTGACAAAAATTTGTCCATTGGCGTCAATCTGCACAAAAAAATTGACAATTTATAATGAGGGAAGACGTTTCAAATAATGTCAGTTTTATCAGCGATCCATGTTAAGTAGAGAGTTGATTATTTGGTACAACAGATAAAAAAAAACCTGTCCAACAGACTTCAGTGCAAAAGAGGACAAAATCATGGTACAAAGTTATCATATTAAAGTTTTGTTATTCACAAAGATGCCAAGATATATTCTGATATTATCTTTGTCATTTGTTGTTTATTTTACCTGAGGTGCATTACTTTGAACTGAGAATGCTAAATTGTGTAAAGTGACTCATGCATGCATCTACACTAGTGCATAAGTAAAAAAATAGGGAAGGTTATTTTAATAAAGTTCACCACAGTTTTTGTTTTACAAAAACCTCATTTGAGCATCATTAATTCAGCCATGTGTTTCATTTGATATTGGGCAGTGTCAAGAACACTTATAGCTGACACTGCAAAATGTTTCTTTCTTCAAAGAGACCATTTGAGATCTGTTGATCTTCTAAAATGTGGCTTAAGTTGCACTTTCTTTAAAGAATAGCACTGGCAAAATTTTTTTTCCCAGGCTGTCCTGGGAGTATAGTAATTTAAGTATAAGTTATTAAACAACACTCTATCACTATGACAAAATCACCTATAGCAGGTTAGGATGTTTTGAAGCTTTCAAATAATCCAAAAAGGAACATCTTAGAACTAACTTATTTTGTACCTTAATGGAAAACAGGACATATTCATCGTTCTGATCAATTTGAGCTCTGAAACAAAAAGAAGGAGAGCACTGTATTTACCTGATACATAATGCTGGTAGATTTGTATCTAATGACTCAATAACAGTTACCACAGAGTGTGAAAAATAATGTTTTCCTAAAAACCTTATGTTCTGGCATTTTATTACTGAGGGTCCTGAGAGAAAAACTGTAGTAAACACTGAATTGAACTGAACAGCTTATCAGAACAAAATTGAATATCAAAAAGAGCAACAAAGAACTCAAATGTATAAGCCACATTCTCATGGGATGATCATTAAATCAATTAAAAAAAACCACTCAAGACAAAGACAACATTTTCTGTGCATTTACATGGTGCTGTGTCAAAGGTGCTGTGTCAAAGGTGCTGTGTCAAAGTTTCCAAAGGTGGGAGGGGGGGTGTAATATCATTCAAGGTATTCAACCTGGGTTGGGTCTGCCAACAGTAAGGAGTGGTATAAAAAAATAAACAAACAGAAGACAGGTGCTACAAATGTAAAATCACTCACTTTCCCTCGGGAGCAAGATCTGCCATTACATGCATGGTCTTGTATGGTATGTTAACAACATGGGCAGTTGTTTTGCTAGTTTCTGTCTCATGAACAACAACTGGATCAGTTCTAGTAATGAATCCACCAGGTCTATTCCTGAAAATAAATATAATAACTTTATTTATATACAGTATTTCCATGAGTCAATCATAAGACGCAACTATCTATCTAGTAAGTAACTTCAGTTTTATCCACTAGGTTGACAATATAAATTGGCCACAGCAAAAATTTCCAAAGCCAACACCCTGGGCACCAGCCCCCTGTCAGAGGGAATGAGGGAACATACAGAAAATGGAGCCACACCACC